AGGATTTGAGAGTTTATTTTCAGGTCTTAGGTCACATATTCATCATCAAAACCCTTTTCCTACTTGTATTTCTCTTCTTTCAGCCCACTAAAGTGGTGTTACTGCCTATAAGCTTGTTTCTCTTCAGCTAAACCTTCTATCCGTAAGGTCTTTTTCTTCCTGGCCATTCGGACTTGACAGTTCTAGAAAATAGGAGGATTGCACTGATGACTTATAGAGAAGGCTAAAATTTGTGTAGGCAGGCACTTAATTACTGTCTTGTTATCCATCTTTTAGCTGAGGCCTATCTAAATTCAATGGGGTACTCTTAAAATGCTGCTGAGTAATAGCTTGTTTAAGGTTAATCCAGAATTTTCGTTTCTTATCTCTATTTGTCTATCTGATCTGCTTTTCTTATTTGACTCTTTTCTAATTTCTTTTTTTTCTTCAGTTAGTGTCCTACTATCCTTGAATCACAGCAGAGTCTTTGTTCCTAAAATTTTCTGAAATATGCCCACTTTGCTAGAAAACACCCATTGTCTTTTTAGAAAATAAATGTGCTTGTATAGTTTCTGCAAAGGAGCATATATTAAAATAATAGAACCCCATGATATTTGCACTTGAGCTCTAGTACTGACTAGAGTATTCTAGAGTAGCATCGCAAACCTAGGGTCTGTCTAGCATTCAGGATCAGTATAGACTATACAGTTCCAGGGAAGAGGAAGATCTCAAGATAAGTCATTGTGTAAATAAAGTGATGGTCCGACTCCCAAAAAATATGAGACCCAAAATTCAAAACACACTCTTTTCTATAGTAGAGAGAGATATTTGCATGACCTGCTATCTTTTCACATTCAACCTACAATCTTTTCATATTTCTTGGTTATCCATTGTTCTATGTTTTAAGTTTGTTCATATCGTTGTGATATATATAGTTATTATATTATCTTAATTATCGAACACGGATCAGTATACAATGTTATATGCTACAGGATACAATATTTATGGAAACAATGTAGCTAAGTTTCTTGATTTGACAAACTTTTATTCTGTCTCTTTCTCTCAACATTATGCTTCTAATATGGCTGATTTGTTTATTTTAATGCAGTGAATTTTCTGCTGCAATGGACGGCAGTCTTATGGAGCCTGATGAGAGTTCAACTGAAGATTTCTTAAAGCAGCAAGAAGAAGAGTTTAGGCGGAAAGTTGAACTTGAGGCAGAGGAAAGAAAGCTCGAAGAAACATTGGAGTACCAGAGGCGTATAGAAGAGGAGGCAAAACAGAAACACCTGGCAGAGCAATTTAAGAATGCCTCTGGAACTTCGTATGGTCTTTTAGAAGAGGCAGGTGCAGTTGACCAAAATTTAAATGAGGACAGTCTGGACCAGCAGGATGGTTTAACATATATCAATACGCCAAGGTTGCATAATATTATCTCTCCAGTATGTCTAAAGGATATAGAATTTGGGGATTTCCGTTTCTCAGAAGCCTCCATGTTCAAGAACTATCCAAATGTTGAAAATTCTCATTTTAAACGTGAACATATGTTACCTAATTTGGGAGGACACAAGTTTATTGGTAATGAGGTGCAACCATCTACTCTGAATGTGGGCAAGACAAATAATCAAGCGGGTCTGAAGATGAATGGCGTAGGAAGGAGTGCAACTTCTGGAATGTCTTCTGTCAGTCCTACTACCCACCAGACTAACAAGGCAATTAACCAGTCTCATTCAAGAGGCAAGCAAGGTTAACATTCTTTTCTTTAAATCAATAATCAAAGATCAGTTGATTTTTTAATTGATTTTTTTTCATAATTTATGTGTAAATTGATGCATAAGCTGGAATCAATTCTTTTAATTCTCCCTTTCAGGCACATGGGGAGAAGTGCAAGATGGATTTGCTTCTTCTGAGCAACAAGCAAGTAGACAACCTAATAGGAAGAATAATTCTATGAAATCAGTTGGTGGAAATGCCCAAGCCATGTCTTATGCTAAAGGGAACTGTTTGCTAGGGCAGAAACCAGAAGATGTTAACTTTCGAGAGCAGGATCATATTTTTGTGCCGGATAATTTGCATAATGAAAAGAGTATGTGTTTCTTTGTCACTTGCTTGAGACTGCTTCATGTTTCTTTATCCTTTTCCTTATCAACTCAGTAGACTTGCAAAATGGTTCCCTACTCTTTAGTGCCGCAAGAAATTATTCACCAAAATAAGAGCATGCTTGCTTGTTGATATTTCCTTGTCCTGTTGTTAAGCCCCTTTAAGAAAGGACCTCTCGAAAACTACTTCTCAGAAATGAATTTCTACGCTGCATAAGTCTGGTTGCTGGGAACCCAGGTTGAAGTCACCTTTCTCACCCCAAAGAAAAACTAAAGGAAAAAAACACAAACACAAACACACACACACACACAAAGGGAGTGAAAATGAAAAAAATTGAAAAAGTAAAACACTCGTGACTATGAATTTTGAAACTTGTTTACGACTTTAAGTGCTTATCGACATGATTTTCAGTATTTGAAAATAGATGGTGGGTATATGAGAGAGTTTGGATAAGGAGGGGGTAGAAATAGAGAAACGCTTGAATTTTTGTTAGATTGCGATATCTCTTCATTTGAGAGGAAATGGTTAGGAGAGAATATGTGATTTCATAGGCGAATATCTTCTTGTATTGTTGATAGGACGAGAAGACCAAGGATTATTAACTTGTTCTTTTACAAGAAGAATGAAAAATGAAGAAAAACAAAAGGACAAAAGAATAAGGGAAAGGCGGTAAAAGAAATAAGAAAAAGAAAGCCCTTTCTTAACATGCCTCAGGCCCTCAGCATCAGATTGGTTCTTTCCTTGGACATGGGTTACTTTATTTTTGTGGATATATATATTTTATGTCACTTTGATCTGTTTGACTTCACTGCTGATTCCGTTATGCTTTATTTCGTTGTTAGCAACAGGATGTCAATAGTCCAAATTCTATTAAGTACTAAGAGAGTTTTTCTTTCACTCTTCAACCAGCAATTAATGAAGCCAAGAGATCAGTGCAATTGCAAGCTGAGGATGATGACGAGGAAAGATTCCAAGCAGACTTGAAACGAGCTGTACGCCAGAGCCTTGGTTTGTAAAAATTTCCACAATCCTTGATTATCATTTTGCATTTTATTACCTTGCCTTTAGACCTTTATTATCTTATTTGATGACTCTTATATGATGATTTTATTCTTTCCACACACAATTGCCTAGCCGTAGACATGACATGCAGAATTGACTTGATGTCTGGTAGGACCTATCTTAGAGCTCTAACAGCATGTGCCAAACTGATGTCACAGAACTCAAGTTGTTTTCCACACAGTTGATTTTGTTAGATATTCCTTCCACCCCAGAAAGTTATCTGCATGATGTCATTTATATTCTTTTCAATTTAAGAGCTTTGGATTGATAGAGAACAAACTACGAAAACAGATCCAATGAGCATAGATATCAAAAGTTTTGTGCGCATTCATATCCTTGGGGCGAGGTTCATCTCTCACATCTACTGCATGTTCATATACTGAGTACTTCTGTATATATGCATTGATCCTATCATATCCATATATTACTCTGCAAGCTCTGTTTTGTGATCCTATGCTTTTGGACTTCCTATCATCTATTTGCATTGTCACTGCTGTGCAATATGTTTACTTTTCATTTTGAAACTGAATTCCCTAAGCTCAGTTTACAAGGCCTATGCAGGTTCCAGGCTTATAGTTATTAGGTGTTTTGAACTATAACAGGAATGGTCGTAGATTTAATGCTTGAGCAGTGCCAATAAAAGGTCGACTTTCCTCTCTCCCACCTCCACGACAAACAAAAAAGTGAGGCTATATAGGGGTCCCACATTTAGCCTCAAAATGAAAGAAGGCCTAGATATTTAAAGTCTTATGTGAACCGATTGCAATTGTTTTACTTCATATATTCCTCATCATACATGACGTATACATACACACACTTAGGTTGCAAAGCTCTTTTACTTGGTCGATGGAAGGAAAAACTTGGTGTCAGTTTCACTTACAGGCCTTGATCATGCTCTCTCCTGTGCTTCTTCAGTATTCACCATATTTTGTTTTTCACGTCGTGGTTCAATTCAAAACACTTATGGCAGCATTGCTTTCTGATACTTTGCAGCACTCCTTGTTACTGTCATGTAATCATATATAGTATTGACGTGAAAAATCCTAATTTTAATGTTAATCATCTCCCATTATGGGAAAAGGTTAGGTAATGAGACATGAGATCTCTCAAGAACATGTGGCTTGTTAGGATGCAATTTTGTCATATGGTAAAACCATTTTATAAATTTTATACTGGTTTCGCGGCGGAGTTCGATCCAGCTATTATTATCTGAAGTCTACATGGGATAAAATATCCCATTTTGGGTCGATTTAGGTTTAACAATGTTTGCTTGTTATTGCTTGGATATTGTTGTGGGAGCATTATGTTCATAAATTTGATAGTATTTGGTTGCTATATCATTCAGTTTATTTGTAGACTTGAACAGGATGTTCTATTCTTTTTCTTAATGAACTAATGACATTTTCCCTTGAATTATAGTAGAATAAATTCAGACTGCAATTGAAATAGATTTCTCTTAAGATGACACTGGTCTGTGTGAGTAGTATAGAACAGATGAGCTATTCGCTTTTGCATTGTAGCGGACAGTTTAGGATTTATTGTGATATAAGCATATGTTTTGGTTTCTGTCAGTAGTTGATGAGGACAAGCTTCCATATTTATTATTTGACTTTTGTTTTTTATTTATTTCAGTTTTTTAGTAGTTAATTTCGAATTTTGAATTTTAGTAGTAGATTTGAATTTCGAATTTTGAGTGAGATTTGGTAGTTATTGATTGTTAGAGATTTGATTGTGAGTGATTTAGGGAATCTTGTATTTCTCTACTCTATTTAAGCACAATTATAATCAGAATTATTATTATTAAATGGAATGAAGAAAATTGTTGCTAATTGCTTAGTGTGAAACCATGGGTGTGAAACCCTAGCTACAATTCTCCCGTTCTTATTCTCCTCATACACAGCCGCCAACCCTATTCCCTTTTCTTCGTCCAATCACCGCCACCCGCACCTGCTCCCTCTCCTCTTCAAAACACCACCACACCAGCGACCCAAACACCCAACCCCACCGCCTTCTGCTCTTCCTCCAAAGTAGCCGCGCCAATCACCCAGTCTCCCTCTCCTCCTCTATCAGCAGTCACGAACAGCCCTAATCCCCCTCCTCCTTCCTTGCAGCAGCCGCCCTGATCTTATCATTCATAAGCAGCAGCGCCCCGACCACCTTTATCTTCTCCACCAGCTACCGAGCCCTCCCCTCTTTCCTTGATCAGCCCCCGCACCAGCCCTATTCCACATAAGTGCCGCCAATCCACTGCTCTTCTTCCGCAAACCATTTAACCCACTGCCTCCCTGCTACCTCAAATCCAAACAGCCACTTGATAGCTCAATCGATGCCGCTGGCGTCCATCCTGTCCCCCTCATCGTCGTCACTTCACACGTCGTGGTCGTCGTCTAGTTCACTGTCGTCGTCTTCCACCTCGACGCCGTTGATCGCGTCGTTGTCCAGTCACCGCCACCATTATCACATCGTCCAGTCGACGTTGTTATCCTTGTTGGCACTCAGTTCGTCGCCTTCGACGTCAGTCAGTTCGGTGTCGTTGCACACGTCGAGTCTGTTCAGACCGACGAAGGTTTGCTTTCTTTATTTTTCTGTTAATCTCATCTGGTTAGTTAATTGCATGAGTATATTGTCTCTAAACTATTATCACATATTCGCTACTTAGTTTATACTTGTGAGTTGAGAGTAATTGAGCATGTGACTGTTGAAAATTTGATATTGATTTTAGAACGTGTGCAATGATAATGAATATTACGATTATATTGTTTGAGATTGGAATTGTTCATGAGTATTGATGCAAGTCTTGTTAAAATCCATCTGTCACGTCAATTGTTTTGTAAATTAATTTCCTGCCGAAGATTATGAATTTTGGCGAAACGGTGCGTTATTCGATTTAGGTCACTGATTCTGATAGACCCCTCCCCGTTCCGCATCAGTAGTACTTTTTGTTGCCAGTGATGCATGTCCATTTCTAATGGAACTTGAAAAGTCAACTTTGCGTTTAAAGGAATTGGGTTCTATACCTTACCTCTAGTTACTACTACAAATTTAAATTGGGTTATAATTAGGATAATTGGAATATATTTCTTTTTTTCTTTTAAGGGTTATAGTTAGAATAAGACAGAAATTTCAGTCTGGTAGGGAGCTTGCAGCCAGAGTGTAGCAACAAAACTTGAGTGGAAGATTTTTTTGGTGGATAATTGGAAGCAGAAAAGATAAGATCTTTGAAGTTCTGGTAGCAGAATTATGGCGCAGACCAAGAAAAGGATGGAGAAAGAAGCATGTTTACGAAAGAAAGCATCGGAAATCAACGACCTAGAAGATCAATTAATAGCTACCAAAAGTTCAATCTTTTCATAAGAAAATCTGTATTTCTAGTTATATGGCTCTGCATGTAGAGAAAACTGATCCACTTCTTGTGCAATGTAATAGTAAAAGATATACTTCCAGTTAATCTATAATTCAACAAAGAAAACAGTCCAATACAAATAACATAACCAAATAAAGACGATTCCTAAGTGATTCTTGTATATCCAGACACGTACAGTGAAATCTAAGATCTTAGAAGAACTCTGAGCATAGTTTTTTCTAATATTAAAGGATTTATATATGACGGTTTAGGGATGTAAAGGATTGATGTAAGGTTTAGAAAGATAAGTCTAGGATTTGCTTAAGGGAAGTTAAAGAAGTATATATCAGTGGTGGTATTGCCTCAAGTCGGAGTGATTAGTCAAGAAAGGGTGGAGATAACCAAGAACAAAATCGCACCTTACTCTACTCTCTTGCACTTTATGCTATTCTTATATTACTATGGTTTCCCTATCAAGTATAGGGGTATTCTTGAATCAATGGCAGAGTAGATATTGTTTTTATGTCTTCTCTAATCTGACTCTGCTACTGCATCTTCTTTTACTTTTCGTTTTTTTAATGGTCAAGAGGTCATGTAGCTCTTCTAGAGCCACTACCTCATCTCTTGACACATGAAGTGCCCCTCCCCTTGCGCAACACTTAATTTCCTGGAAATAACTAATGACCAAAACTTAGCTGGTTAGCCTTAGTCTCTATTCATGCCTTTACCTAACAAAATGGACAACATAGATACATAGTAGTTATTATCTTCCATGTGCGAGCATGGAGTATGTGCTAGTTGTCGTGTGTTGTATTAGCTTGGCATATACCGTTAATCCATAACCCATTGAGTCAAGCTTCTGGATAAAGTGGTTTCTTTATTTGGTGTCAACACATCTTGCTCCAAGATAATCTTCATTGCAAACTTCAAAAAATTAAAATGAAATATAAAAAACTAGTACTATTTACCCATTTTTTCCCACGTGCCCATCTTGTTCTCAACTGACTTACATACATGTATTAATAATTGATTTTTCTCTTATATGGGTATATATGCTACATTATGAAAATATTTTAACATGTTTGTAATCTTTTCAGATACTTTTCAAGCACAGAGGGGTTTATCTGCTGCTTCAGCTTCAAGAATAGGTCAGCAAAAAGACCCTGAGATAGATTATTACAGTGTATCTGTTAGTGAACCTGGAAGCATTTCAAACGATAAAGCATTATATGGAGCAGGCCTTAAAAATGATGTTGGGGAGTATAATTGCTTTTTAAATGTAATTATCCAGGTTAGTATTCAAGATTTCTTTATCCTAGAAGCTGTAGTCATCAGGCTTACCCCATTTGGCTGCTTTACTGAGATAATCTTTCCCCCTTGTGACAATATAGTCACTTTGGCATTTAAGGAGATTCAGAGATGAGTTCTTGAGGATGTCAAGTGAACATACTCATGTTGGAAATCCTTGTGCTATATGTGCGCTATTTGATATTTTTACCGCTTTGAGCAAAGCATCTTTGAAAGGACACACAGAAGCAGTTTCTCCTACTTGTCTTAGGATTGCTTTGAGCAACTTGTATCCTGATAGCAATTTCTTCCAAGAGGTAATCTGAGGAAGCTATATATTATTCTGTATAGTCCCTCTCGTTGAGTTTTATCAAGTGCTCTTAATTTTTAGAACATTATTTGTTTGCCTTTGTTTTCTTCCTTCATAATAGTAAGTTTGAAACTTCTACATGCTTCTGTCAGGCACAAATGAATGATGCTTCTGAAGTATTAGCTGTGATCTTCAACTGTTTGCATCAGTCATCCACATCTTCTGGCGATTGTGAAGCTGAATCTGAAGAAAGTAATTGTATTGGTAACTGGGATTGTGCAAGCAGCACTTGCATAGCACATACGTTTTTTGGAATGAACATATATGAACAAATGAACTGTAATAGCTGCGGTGTGGAGTCCAGGCACCTGAAGTACACCTCCTTTTTTCACAATATCAATGCAAGTGCACTTCGGACAATGAAGGTACTTAAATATCTACACTTCTATGCACAGTCCTTGAATTAGAGGTTGTAAAATTCTTAATCACTGAGTTGAGTTCTGGGCTCCTTTCAGATCACCTGTGGCGATTGCTCTTTTGGTGAGCTTTTGAAGCAGGTGGAGAGGAATCACCAGTTAGCTTGTGATATTGAGGCAGGTGGTTGTGGCAAGCCAAATTATATTCACCATATTCTTTCAACTCCCCCACATGTTTTCACTACAGGTAATGTCATTAAAATCTTTCATGACTCCCACAAATTCTTCCCTTGTGGCTCAAATTCATCCAATTCTAAAATCAGCTATTAGTCTTCAGATAGCCTTGGAGGCTCGGTTAAATTTGAGAAGGTTCTATCAATAAGGAAAAAAATTGTAATTCTAGTTCCATTAGCTTTATTTTTTGGAGATGATGTCCCAAGTACGAATCGGTCTGACCTACACATGTCAGGACACTAATTGATGCTGTGTGCCTTGTAGGCATGATAGTTTTCATCCAGACGAGTCTTAATTGCACTGAAAAGTTTGCTTATTCTTGTAACATATTCTGATCGATGTTTTCTATTGCAGTTTTGGGCTGGCAGAATATGAATGAAAGTGTAGATGACATTTCTGCCACCATGGCAGCCGTTTCCACTGAAGTAGATATCGGTGTCTTATACAGTGGGATAGATCGAGGAAGCAAGCATTCCCTTGCTTCTGTGGTATGTGCAAAGATTTTTCTTCTTTTACTTTTCTGAAGTAACGTTTAAAATTTTATTTATATGTTACTTGGTTAAAATTTACTACACTTACTTTGATGAAAGCTCAACACATTTAAATAGAGCTCTTGTTCCCTCCCTCCCTCTTGTTCCATTCGTATGGATCAGCTACCATGATGTCTGAGCTCAAATCTCAGGGCCACAAAACAACAGATGATCAAACAATATAGTGCCAATGACCATATTTCTGTGAGAGCAAACACTACAGCACCCATTAAATTATACACCATTGCTCACACTCTAATCTAAAATTAGAGAAAAGCATGCCAAAATATTGCATAGATTTTGTGAAAGATGCTATAGTTTCAGTAACCTAGTTTCATTAGCCATAACTTTGTCTTTGTGAAACTAAATACTGCATCATTTGTTAAATATACAAAATAAAATTCACACTCTAATCTAAATCTGGTCAATAGAGAAAAAAATAATGGCGGAATTTCATTGCATACTATAACTCGACTCCGCCCCCCCGCCGCCTCCCCCCTGACAGAACATTTTTGTAGTGTAGTTCTATAGAAAAAGAACGAAGGACTGCTGATATAAAATCTGAACTTCGATACATAACCACAAGCACCGAAACTACCGATATTGTTACCTAAAAGATCTTGCTGATACCAACATCGAGATTTGAAATCTTATTTATAGCATGTCTGGCCATGCCATTTGATATTTGGTTTTGGACATTTTGTATGGAACTCTCAAATCGAGTAGTAAAAACTTATAAGCAACTTTTTCAAAAAGAAAACTCTTAAGCAAAATGCATGATCATTTGAAATGCAAGGATGGGCGTTATAAGCTTTGTGTGATTATGTAGTTTATAAGTTTAGATGAATGAATTCTTGCATTGACTATTAAAGATTTAGAATTGAGGACCTGGCATGAAATGGGAGCTACTTACCCTGTAAGCTTTGTGTGATTTTGTAAAGAAAAGTGTAAAAACTTTTATGGATATGCTATCATTTGTTTTTTTTTTTTGTTGACTTTATCATTATTAATTGTCAATGAAAGTTGGAACAATTTACCTCTTGTATGGAGTTCACAAATCTACTATATGTGTAAAATGATTTTTTGGGAAACTTACCATTCATAAGCTCATAGTTGAATATTTGGCTGAATTCATTCTGAAGGATATTTTAAATAAGTGTTTTCTAGTTTGATTTTGTTTTCTAAGAATCGAAGTTATATTTGGCAAGATCAAGTTGTATATTTAGCTTTATTTCACCTGCAGACTATGGTTGATACCCTAGATTTTACATTGTGCCAATTGAATTCTTGGGATATTTGTGTATCCTTGATGGCAAGTTGTTTCCATGAAGTTTTCTGATTCAGATCTCTAATTGGTGTTAATCTGATTCTTTATTAAGTCTCTTACTGATGTTTGGGATACTTTTAGCTTACATATTCAAATATCCAGGTTTGTTATTATGGACAGCATTATCATTGCTTTGCATATGAGCATGAACAGTGGGTTATGTATGATGATCAGACTGTTAAGGTAACACACTGTCGTTATCCTGTTTTTTGTTAAACTCTATTTGACGCACGCTGTGATCTAATTTCTGATGCATGCAGGTTATTGGTGGTTGGGACGATGTTGTAACTATGTGCGAAAGGGGTCATTTGCAACCTCAAGTCCTTTTCTATGAAGCTTTCAATTAGATTTTCTGAATATCCAAAGAGCAAGTACTACCTGAAAGTTCAGATGATTGTGATGTTTAATGATAGATTTATGTGTCTTCATCTGCTGTTATCTGATTATAGGTTGCATATTTATCAAAGTGCGAAGAGTTAAATCCTCCACTGGGGTTTACTGTCAGAGCAGTTATTCAGGGCCCTTTTTGATAGACATCTTCAGCATCTGGAAAATACTTACCCTTAATTATAGCAACTAGAAGTGAAGGTGATTTGGAAGAAGAGAGCTTTCCTATTGCCTCTTATCTGGGCTTCCATTTAAGCATTCACAGATTGATTTTGACCTTCGACAGCGAGGTAAACAGTTTGAGGTGCTTGTATTACAGCCATATTTAAGACTCAGGCAGTGACTGCTCGTTAAAGAGATGATACCTCTGAGTTGTGTGCCTGTGCATATTTTTTTGCCCCCACTTTGGTGAAGGTCCGCTATGTGATCCTGATTCTTCCTTTGTTTAGTTGGTATACTAGTGAGGACTATGGCCCTCTTATTTTTGCGGATAGAGAATAGAAGGGGATCAATAGAATAAATCTTTTTATCCCCTTAATCATATTTTTTTTCTAGGTTTGTATAGAAGACATGTACCTTGGGACAATTGTCAGTGAAAGGGAATATGGAATGATGAAAAACAAGAAGAATCGATATTAATCTTTTTGTTCCTTACCTCGGCATCAGAATTTTGTTGCTAGAATAGTTCTCAATTTAATGCGATGGAAGCAATATCATTTTGAGTCTGATCTTAAGCGTATTTCCATAGAAGTTTATTTCTTTTACTGTAAGTGATTGCTTTTGTATTAGTCTTTATAGACTTTGATGTGGATCCTAGCGTGTTTCGTAGTAATTGCTTATATGAATCATGCTAAGATGGTGCTTATATGAATCACGCTAAGATGGTGTTGGGAGAGGCTTGTTTTTAAAAGCTTTTTATAGTAATTGCTTATATGAATCATGCTAAGATGGTGTTATGTTAGCCTATGGCTTTTATGACAAAAAATGTATAATTTTTTTCAGGTAACTTGATTGGTCAAACCTAAGTCATTTAGGTGAGCTTAAAGGCTAGTTTTTTAAAAGTTGGGCTATACCGGTTCTCTTTAAAGTGGGACTTAGTTTAACTTATTTCTTATATTACCAAATAAGTAACAGGAAACTCGGCTACTAATTAGGATGGTTGATGAATTTGAGCATGAATTGACCTGTCAACTTGCTTGTTGCGTAGGAAATATTAAGAGTAGTGCTTTTTGGCTCACGGGTTGAGCAACTCGCGCCCAACTCGCAGAGAGGGAGTAGGGGGGTGGGCCCCACAGCTTTGTGGGGCCCACCCCCCTACTCCCTCTCTGCGAGTTGGGCGCGAGTTGCCCATGTATAGCAGAGGGCAAGCATGGAAACAGTGTTCCCCATAAGCACGGGGGAAAACGAAAAGAAAAAAATCCCAAAAACTTCAAAAACCACACTATTATCCTGGAAGAACCACTTAGTCCAAACATACACCGATTAACTTTGACTGACCGGCGGTAGTTTTACTTGAACCATCAACAGCAACTATGTTCCTTGGCAGGAAACTGAAAAAAAAGAATCTGGCTCAGAATGGGGAGAAACTAAGAGCCATCACTTTTTAATTAATTTATTAAGATACAACTGAGTTCTTTCAAAAAAAAAAAGTACCAAAAATTGGGGCCTATGAGAAAAACTAGCGTGTAGGTCAATAGGACAGACATGTTATAGTGCAGGTATAAACGTCGACATTACATACACAAGAAAGAGGAATGTTGATCCTAATAGGTGCTCATGTCCTTGTATATGCAGATGCACTATTTCCCTTACTGCTGTTTACCCATTGTTGCTCGCATTAGCACTCCTGATGAGAGCACGCAACAACGGTTAAAGCCTTCTTGAAACTTGTAGTAGTATATCGACATGAGATTCGCTCTTGGTAAGCAAAAAGCACCCCCACTTTAACAAACTAGGGTTTCCGCACAATTCACGTGGAGAGATTCACTCTTAACAATGATTTCTGTCACAAGAATTTTAGACTAAGAACTACTAATAATTTCAGTCTTCTTGGGATGAATCATCAGACGAGTCACTTTGAAACGGTGAAGTCTCTCTTGGTGACGATGGATGTGACTCTTGCTCCTGTAATGCAGTCCCTGAAGAAAAAATGAAAAACAAGTTATGTGATAAAGTAAATATAAAAAAAAATCACAAGAATAAAAGAGCAAAGCTTCAAAACATAAATAAGTTGCAAATACAATCACTTGTGCTGCTACTGACTTGCATAAATAGAATTTGCATAAGTAGAACAACTACTAGGAACTGGTGGAGAATAAAGCTTACTACACAAACATCTCTACTAATTCAACAATAACACTCGCAAATTTTAAGGGGAAAAAAGGTTAGCCTTGTGGAGACAAAGCCTATACTGATGTCATTTCTTTCAGAAAAACAAAAGATTCTAAGAACAGACACTGAGGCTTGGCTCCGTGCTTAATCAGGAGGTCCAAAGTTTTAAGAAGGGGCTACAGCCTTTGTACAGAAAAAGAAAATATAGAAACAAAGACTATGAAAAAACAACTAAGCATTTTTTTTCTTGTCAAATAAAAAGAAATAAATAAATACTAGCTCCAGTTACAGAAAAATCCTCTAATATATACCATGAGGAAATTTAGGTTGTACCCACACGAGAGGATCCATAGAAGTTAACAATATCTTAGGATAAAAGAATTAACCTGAAGTCTGCTCTGCTTTTGAATGGAACTTCTTTGTGTGCCTTCGTATTAGCTTCTTTGCTTTTGTTATCGTAAGTTGCCTAGCAAAGGGTGCAAATTCAGGATCATTCTCACTCCATTCGCCTTGCAACTCATTGTCTGCCTCTCCTCTCATAGTTCGCAAAACAAATGCCTTTGCTTTGGAACGCTGATTATTAAACAACCCTTTTACGGAGGTGACAAATCCATCACCAGCTCCGTCCATTGGATGCTTGGCAAATGTTAGAGGGAGTTGATCAGATTTCCCAGGTTGACCACCATCAACATCGCCAACATTGAGATCAGGTACAATATCTGCTTGCAACTCCTTCAGGTTTTGGGTTTTGGCTTTGAACTTTTTTCCCTGAAAATACACAGGGTAAATTTAGTTTTCAAGTCATATTGAAATTTACATAGGTTTATATCAAAGGACCAGATCTAAGCTCCCAATGTTGTAATGTTATTTGTTGATGATATAGTATTACTTGATGAGAATAGGGAAAATAATTTCTAAAGTAGAAAGGTGGAAACAAGCTCTCATGGATTTAGAGTTGGTAGAATAAAACATAGAACACACGGAATATGATTTTAGTAAATCCATGAAAAGAAAGAGCTTATAATCAAAAGTGATGATAGAGAAATACTTAGAAGTAATCGCCTTCTTAATTTCGTATAGTAATCACCTTTTTAATTTCAGATCATTCGACATTCATCATGATAGAGAGACTGAGGATGATGTTGTTCATTGAATCAAATTAGGACATTTAAAACAGAGTAGCGCTTTTGGAGTTTTATGTGACTGTAGGATACTTATGATACCAATGATGCTTTATGGATTGGAGTGCTGGGCATTTAAAAAACATGTGCAGAAAATGAGTGCGGCAGAAATGAGAATGTCACAAAAGTCTTGTGGGTACACACTAAAAAGATAGGATAAAAAATAAGCGCACTAGGAGGAGATTAGAGAGTGCTCCAATTTAGGATAAGATGAGAGAGAATTGGTTGAGATGTTTTGGTCAAATACAACGGAGACCTCTCAGTGCACCAAGATGATAGTTGATGGGGACAAAGAGATCTAGGGCTAGACCTAAAAAAACTTGGTTGTAAGCAATAACAAAGATATGATAATAGGTAACTCAACAGAGGAAATTACCAAAATAGAACTAGGTGGATTCATGTAGCCAACCCTAAAAAATTTTGATAAATACTTTGTCGTTGTCGTCATAGTATAAATCACATTGAAATTTTAATGAAGGATGCCCATCAGTACCAGCCACAGCAGTAACTAATAGAACTGCTAAGGACATTTTCTTCCTTTCTTCTAAATGTTGATGCCTCTAACTGAACCACGTACACAATTGAACCAGCACTCGAAATCTGGAGTTCTCCAGTTGAACAACTAAGTTTTTTCAGCTGGTTTGCTAAAAATTAAAATTAAGATAACATGATCTGCAGAAGGTGGATCTGAATGCACCAGCAGGACTTAAATGGAATCAGAATGGGTTTCTGTTATGAGATGTCACAGCATTCAGGACATGAACTTTATTCGGAAAAAAGGGGAAATGGATTAATCAAATGCAAGCACCCAGTAAAGTTACATAATATAGATGGATTTACGTATAATGTGCAGGTGTTGCTCATGAAAAGGTAACATCTAAACAGATGAAAACGACACCACAAAACGTCTTTTACAGGATATAATAGTGATGATTAACAATTTTAAAACGCATAGTAGTCATTAATTATGAATATATAGCTGATAATTATAGGTAAATTGTACTTGCCTGCATTCCTGTCACTGATTTTAGAACTCCCCATATTATGTGTTTTTTAATTCGTGAAAATAGCCTTCGCCAGGTGCCTGTGAAATCATCAGGATGAAATGAATCCATCAACAGCCTCATGTCACTGACTGCAAACCTTGAACCCTCATACGTAAGCTGCAACTCAACCTATGATATTTGCAAAAGTTATGATGGTTAGTGTTTGTACATATAGTTAAGCCACACAACTCAGATAGATTAAATTATAATGTTAAAAAACCTGGCTGATGTTGATATTACGAAATTCCGTTTGCTTCCGCGACTTGTCTCTATTTTCATCCTGAGCCTTCCCAACCTTCTTGGAATCTTTTGTTTTACTTTTGACTGTGTCCTCATTAGCGGCTTGTTGATTTTCTGGAGCAGAACTCAGAGGACCACCTTTTGCAACAAAACTTTGCAAAACAAGTTCATCAGCTACTGATTCCGCCACGGTTTCTTCCCATGATCTATCAACTGATGATGTAGGTTGAAACTCTGGATTGGAACTAGACACACTGTTTCTTTTTGTTTTTGGTAACTTCAACCCCTACATGGAGATTCCACCACACATGAATGAGGTCTGTAATAAATCCAACTTATAGATTGACTGTGATTGACAAATGTGGGGCATAAAGTTTGTTTGGATAATGCCTGCTAATTTTTTTCACTATTACTTACACCTTTAGTTAAATGTGCATGCATCATTATCCATACAAATAATCTTATCACTAGATTTGCGCACTAGTATTACTAAAATGACAGATACTATGCATGACAGACAGCACTTTACATCCAGCCAGATTTTTATTGCAGAGCCAGTTAAACTGAGAGATGTCTTAGTTTGTTTTCCTCTGTTGTTCTTGTTTTGTTTTGAGTATAGAATCATACATGTATAGTATGATAAGTTTTTAGTTGAGTTTTTCGTTGGGTCTGTAATCATTGACATCTTTGATAATGAAAAAGCTAACCTTTTTACCAGAAAAAGGGAAGGAAAAAAAATACCCTATCACTAGATACCAAATTATGATCTTTTAGTGTAATAAAACTCGAAAGTTCCCATTTCATGATTATAGTCTCAATCAAACCTATTCAAAATGTTTGTTTGGAGTTTCAGCCTCTTACATCTAGCACAATAATGATGACGATTTCGTTAGTGGAACTTACCTGAGAAGAATCACTATGGCTAGAAGTACCAGAGATCAGGGAGGCTTTTGAATTAGAACCAGATTTTTTTGTAATCTCAAATTCTCTTGTCAATTGGTTACTTGAGGCATTTGTGTCAGCGCCAGATGTGCTTTTCTTTACCCGTTTTCCACCAGCATTTGTTGAAACTTTCCAGACTTCCTTCACATATTTTAAAAGGGGAAGGGAAGAAAAGGTTAGAAGGAAGGAAGAAAACATACCCCCCCAAAAAAACCAAATGCATTAGGTTAACCTGCCGTTTCTGTGAATCTTGTTCTTCTCCTGGAAAGAAGTACCCCCACATCATCCTGTACATTGATTCTGCCAAATGTATCTTCAATGGGTATATCTCCACCTATTGTCGTCAATTAATAGAGAGTTTCTTGAGCTAGAATTGTAATCGAATACTTTAAGCAAAGAGAAACACTTTCATAACTGCATTAATTATATAGAATATTGACCTCTACAAGTAGACAGCATGCCTAGAACCATAAATCCCTCATAGGTAAGGAAATGCAACAGCCAACAGATCTATTCGTGCCAGCATGACAACCTTCCATTTTAACAAGATGCTATATAGCAAAAATTAAAGATGCTGTAACAGATAAAATGAGAGATTACATCCATACAGACAGTGATTTTCAATCAGAACAAAATGTCATAGCTGGTTAAGTATAATCAATTTAAGCACACCATGGGCTAGGTATATCCATGTTAAATTAAGTATTGGGTTAATGGGCTGTTACCCGTTAACCTTAACCCTATTTGTATGGCTATTTATATCTTTCTTGTTATCTCAATAAACAACAACTAGGGTTTTCTCTATTTTCTACATGGTATCAGAGCATGAAACCCTAGCCGTCACAAATCCTCATTCAAAAACCCTAGCCGCCGCCGCCGCTACAGTGCCACCACCGCTATAGTAATGCTGCTACAGTACCTCTGCTACAGTACCTCTGCTACAGTACCTCTGCTACGTGTTGCCTATTCCCTCGACATCTCAATCTTCGAACTGATGAGAGGACGATTGTATCCCTCGACATTTCAGTCATAGAACTGATGAGAGGAAGAGTGTCTATCTCATGTTGTTGAGATATTTCACTTTTATTCTTGTTTCATTCGAGAAACAAGAATATAAAAATTGAGCCTTTGTACATACAAAAGCTAGGGCTCTCTCCCTCAGGTGATCTCGCCTACGCGACGTGAGGGCATGACTATCTACCACTCTGCCTCTAATCCTACTCCTGATCTGCTCTTAGTTTATGTTTCAAGAACGGATCTCTACTACTAATCTGCCTATTTGACTACTATCTGTCTCCTATTGTTGCTAAAAAAAATAACTACTACTTCGATGTCGGACATCTCCTCCTCTACTACTCCTTCTATTGTTGTTGGTGAGATCTCTGCACCCAAGGTAGTCTTGGGGGCTACTATTAAATTGAATGGTGCAAAGTATCTGCTCTGGGCACAAGCTTTCCACATCTTCATTGGCGCTCAGAGCAAACTACCACATCTACTGGCATCTCCACCCCCCACCACAGATCCCACCCATAATACCTGGCTATCGTCAGATATTGTGTTATGACTTGGCTTCTCAACAGTATGGAAGTACAGATCAGTAGCAGTGTTATGTTCTTAACCACTACGAAGGAGATGTGGGACAGCCTGAAGATTATGTACGTGAATGAGAAGAATACCTCCCGTGTATTTGAGATCTATGAGCGACTGTTTGCGCTCAAACAGGGAGATAAGTCAGTTCCGAAGTTCTTTGGTGAGTTGAAGGGACTGATAGATGAATTGGAGATGCATCAACCTGCAGTAGCTGATGCAGTGACGCTGTTGGGATATCGCCGCGACCTGGCAGTGTCCAAATTTCTTTCTGGATTGCACCCTATTTTACAGTCCCAGGTGAGAGGACAGATGTTGGGTGACGATACCATTCCCTCACTGACTGCTACATTCTCCAGAGTCATGCAGGTCTCTACTGGTGTTATTTCTGATACTACTACACCGTCTTCACCTATAATGGATCAGTCTGCCATGTTCTCTAGTCGAGACAGAGGCCGCGGTCGTGGTCGTGATTCAGGGAGAGGACGTGGCTCCTTTGGTGAGAGACAAGGTGAATTTGATAAGGGCTCATGTCAGTGTGGTCACTGTGAGAGAACCAATCATATTTCTGAGAAGTATTGGGAAAAGTTTGGTCGACCTCAGTGGGCCCAGGTAGCTGACGCCGAGTCGACTCACTCGTCTATTTCTGCTACTACTGCTGGTGGTCCAGCTGTTACTGTTACTACTGTTCAGATTTCTCAAGCAGATTATGAGAGGTTACGCTAGCTAGGACTCTCTCAGAACAGTCACTCTGCTACTCATGCATCCTCTTCAGGTATGGATGCTTCCATCGCTTCTTCTCACAAACCCTGGATACTAGATTCTGGAGCCTCATCCCATATGACATGTATAAAGGATCACTTTGTATCTTTACATCTTTCTGCTAAGTTTCCCGCTATCTGGATTGCTGATGATACACTGCCTCCAGTTCGTGGTGATGGAGTAGTTCATGCTACTTCATCTTTAAAACTATCTGATGTGTTATACGTTCCCAAATTCTCTGTTAGCTTATTATCCATTAGTAAGTTTACAAAACAAAATAACTGTAAAGTCACATTCTTTTCATCTTATTGTGTTTTTCAGGACCTAACAACTGGGATGACGATTGGTTCGGGGCATGAGCGAGGAGGTATGTACTATTTGGATGACAGTGTGCTAGAGACTGGTATTGTTGCATCACAGCCTGAATCTACTTTACTGTGGTACTGACGTATGGGTCATCATTCCCTACAAAAATTTAGATCGGTAGTTTCTATGAAGTCATCTATTTTCTCTTTAGGTTGTGAGTCGTGTGAACTGGGTAAGCACCATCGTGCTACTTTTCAGAGTCGAGTCGATAAACGCAGTAGCTCTGCGTTTGAGTTGGTTCATTCTGATGTCTGGGGTCCTTATTGTGTTCCCTCTGTGAACGGTTTTTGATATTTCATTATCTTTGTTGATGATTTCTCTCACATGACGTGACTTTATTTGTTAAAAGAGAGGTCTAAGGTCTCGCACGTTATTGAATTCTTTTATAATGAAATAAAAACCCAGTTCTCTACTTCTGTTCATATTCTTCATACTAATAATGCTTTGGAATATATGAAAAATGATGTTTCAAAATTTTGTGCTCTTAATGTTATTATTCGTCAGACTTATTGCTCTCACACTTCACAACAAAATGGAGTTGCTGATAGGAAGCATAGACATATTCTAGATGTTGTCAGAACACTGATGATATATATGAATATTCTAAAGTATTTGTGGTCTGATGTTGTTCTCACTGCCTGTTATTTGATTAATCGCATGCCTTCTTCTGTCCTTAATGGTATAATACCATTTAATTGTCTTTATCCTCATAAAAAATAATTTTCTATGATTCCTCGCGTCTTTGGTTGTACATGTTTTGTTCGGGATTTGACAGCTGGTTTGGATAAGTTGTCTTCTAGATCCATTAAGTGTGTTTTTGTTGGATACTCTCGTACTTAAAAAGGGTATAGGTGTTATCATCCGTCAACCAGGAAATTTTGTGTCTACTGATGTTATCTTTTTTGAGTCTATCCTATATTTTTCCTCTGGTTCCACTACTATTAGTTGTCCACATGCACCACTACCTTCTTCTGCTCCTACTACTATTCCATTACATGTTCCTGTGGCTCCTGCACCGAAACCTCTACTGACATACTCTCGTCGCCCAAAAGTACATGCTCCTGACACTTCATCTCCAGCTGTCAGTCCATCTCATGTTGAGACTTCTATTCCTTCTGACTTGAATATTCCTATTACTCTTCGGAAAGGTAAACGGTCTTGTCCGAAATATCCGATCTCTCTTTTCGTCTCTTATGATCATCTCACCCCATCTTTTCGTCAGTTTGCTTTGTCCTTGTCCACTGTATCTATACCTAGGTTACATGAGGAAGCTATATTAGTACCAGCCTGGAAGCAGGCTATGGATGAGGAAATGAGTGCACTGCTTTCTAGAAGGACTTGGGATTTGGTGTCTCTTCCTACTGAAGCGACTGTGGTTAGTTGCAGATGGGTGTATACCTTAAAATATCACCCCGATGGGTCTGTTGACCGATATAAAGCTTGTCTGGTTACAAAATGTTATACCCAGACATATGGCATTGACTATTTTGAAATATTCTCTCCCGTTGCTCGTCTCAACTCCATCAGAATTCTTTTCTCTCTAGCTGTTAATATGGATTGGGCGATGCACCAACTAGATGTGAAGAATGATTTTCTTTATGATGATTTGGACGAGGAGGTTTATATGAAGCAACCTCCTGGGTATGTTGCTCAAGGGGATAGTATTATCTGCAGGCTGAGAAAGACCATCTATGAGTTAAAGCAGAGTCCTCGCTCTTGGTTTGATAAGTTCAGCAAGGTTATTTCTAGTGTTGGTTTCTAACATTGTCAGTCTGATCACTCTGTCTTTCTTCGACGCACAACTACTGGTTTGGTTATTTTAGCCGTATATGTTGATATTCTGCTGACTAGGAGTGACTCTGTTGTCTTAGCTGAGACTAAGGAGTATCTAAACCGTTATTTTGTCACTAAGGACATGGAAAAGCCAAAGTATTTTCTTGGGATTGAAGTTACATATCAAAAACATGGCCTGTTGTTGTCCCAAAGGAAGTATGTGCTAGATTTACTAAAAGAAACAGGTCTCTTGGAATGCAAACCTACAAGCACTCCAATGGAGGCAAATGTTGATTTGTGGCGTGATGATACCTCTCTACTAGATGATGCTGGATGATATAAGAGACTCATTGGGAAGCTAATATATTTGACAGTTACCAGACCTGATATTACTTTTACAGTAGGTGTACTGAGCAGGTTTATGCACAAACCTAGAGAGGTTCATTGGATAGCAGCTCTGAAGATTTTGGCATATGTCAAAAGTTGTTCTGGCAAGGGATTGCTATATAAGAAGCATGAGCATACTCACATTTTGATTTTCTCTGATGCTGGCTACGCAGGAGACATGGGAGACCGAAAGTCGACCTCAGGATTTTATACTTTTATTGGAGGTAATCTTGTGACTTGGAGAAGCAAGAAACAAGATGTAGTATCACGATCTAGTGTAGAGGTCGAATATAGAGCAATGACTCACACTGCTTGTGAGATTATGTGGCTGCGAAAGTTTATGATAGATCTTAGTTTTATTCAGCCTGAACTCATGCTAATGTATTGTGATAACCAGTCTGCCATTTATATTGCATAGAATCCTGTGTTTCATGAGAGGACAAAACATATTAAAGTTGA